AAAAAAAGAGAATTGTACGAGCCCCAAATAAAATGAGTAAAAAAAAAAAAGAGAAACAGAAAGGGGGGGGAAATATATATGTATATGTATATATGTGCATACATATACACAAAGTACAATGAATACACTGAAATTATATGTAATTGTAAAAAGGTGCAATAGTAATAAAGGCAAACAATGAAAGCCAACAGAGCAATAAGACAATTGTGTAAGGAGATAAAAAATTCTAGCAAGATGCTCAGAAAAGTTTACAATGAAGCTGGCAGCAATCTATAGGTGACCAGCAGAGAGGGGTGGATGAGGAAGATAGTGGGAAAGAGTTTCCAGTAAGGAACCCTTTTTAACTTCATAATGACATTTGAATTTTGAAGGGAGTAGCTATTGCAAAAAACTATAGTAAATACACTTTTAAATATAATAAAAGTGAATTGTGAAATTTAATATGCTCTCCAGGAATGCTCAGGAAAAGTTAAAACCACTTGAAATATAATCACTTAAGACCTATTTATGAGAAAATAGCCTAAAAAATTTGTTGATATAAAAACCTAACTCAGAGCTCTATCTCTTTCGAAAGAGAAGTCAAGGGCATCAGTCACTTTGTCGATTTTATCCCTATCAGGAGAACATTCTCAAAACATAAGGTGCTCGGGCACCGGATGTTAACTCCAGTCAGTCTTTCAAGATCCTTCTCAAAATTTAAATAAACTTCAGTCATGTTTACATGAGGAAATGGCATTCCTCTGTGCTCGAATCTTATATGCACTGAAACAGAAACATAATATGATCCTCAAACTTGCTTACTGTGGAAACTGACACCCTGAGAACATAAATAAACCCACTTTGTATAGTCAGCTCTGTTACCCAACCCCCCCCCCCAAAACAACTTTAATTTTATATTCTAATCTAAAACTGTGGGGGGAAAATTAACATCAGTTCTAGTCACAGAACCACCTCAGTGATACTTAACAATAACAGCATTGATACTAAGTAATACTATCAAAAGGAGCCAGTATATTTGGAAACATTCACAGCAATTCTAGTCACAGATAAGCTCCAAGGAAAATGACTTGGAATAGGTTCATATGCTTTATATGAACCTTACAGTCTCAAGCAATACTAACCTCCACTGCCCCCCCCCCCCCCCCCCCCCCCCCCGCCCCGCCCCAAAAACAATGATGGTTTGGGAGCACTCACACGTGAGCCCGCTGGACTCAGTCTCTTCTGCACCATCCCTTCGGTGAGGTCATGACACTGCCCAGCCCCACAAAGGGCCAAACACACAGCCAAGCTTCTGCCCTTAACGATGCTCCTTCCCTTGCCAGTGTCTAGGGGAACCCGAGAACAGCTGTCCACAGGCTCTGGAGAGGAGGTTCTGTTATCCAATCCAGC